GCAACCGGTCGTGTAGCAACGGTGCGGCCGGTGCCGCTAGCAACAGCCTGAGCGCGAGGCTCAGGGGCAGCAGAACCGGCAGCATGGGGTGGTGCTGAGGAGGACAGGGTGGCGCTGCTGGCAGCAACCCGTGCGGGATGCACGGGGGCAGCAACACCGAGCATCGGGGGTGGCACGAAGGGCCCAGCTAGGGGCGACCTTGGTGACAGCGGCCCAGGTGACGACGATGGCCCAGGCGCGGCATCCCCATCCCCATGCATGTGCACAATGCCATGCACGGCACGTAGGGGCTTAGGTGGCGGGGCTGCAGTGGGCGTCGGAGTACCTGCAGACATCGTACGGGCTCCGGAAATTGGAGCAGTAAAATCATTCTCGTCAAGTAAAAAATCCAAGGCTGAGGATGCCATGGGTGTGGTGGACATATCGGAGAAGGGAAAGAAAGATTCATCAAAAACGACATGTCGGGAGATGATAAGGCGATTCGACTGGAGCTCGAGACACCGATAGCCTTTGTGTTTCGAGGAGTAGCCAAGGAAAACGCATAGGGATGAATGCGGGGCGAGTTTGTGGGGCACTATGGGGGACAAGTTGGGATAGCAAGCGCACCCAAAAACTTTGAGGTGGTCATAGGAGGGCTGGGTGGAATAGAGGGAGGTATATGGTGTCGAGAAGGTGAGGGTTTTAGTCAGGAGGTGGTTCACAAGATATGTCGCAGTGTGAAGGGCCTCAACCCAGTAAACCGGAGGAAGACTCGCCTGAAACAAAAGGGAACGCAGAATGTTATTAATAGTGCGAAGGGAGCGTTCTGCTTTTCCATTTTTTTGAGAAGTATGTGGACACGACATGCGGAGTGCAACACCGTGGGAGAGAAAGAATGTGCGGGCTGGAGAATTATCAAATTCACGGCCGTTGTCGCACTGGACGCTCTTGATGGTGGCGCCAAATTGCGTGCGAATGTAAGTGAAAAATTTGGCAAGAGTGGAAAATGTCTCAGATTTAAGGCGGAGCGGAAAAGTCCAAATGTAGTGTGAACAATCATCCAAAATGACAAGGTAATATTTGTATCCTGACACACTAACAATAGGAGATGTCCAAAGATCGCAGTGTATTAAATCAAAATTATGAAGAGGTCTAGAGCTAGATGATCCAAAAGGCAAACGTGCATGGCGACCAAGTTGGCACGCATGGCATATATGATCTATATCATCTTTATTACAAGAAATGACACTGGAACTAATGAGTTTGGACAAAGCTTCACGCCTAAGATGCCCGAGACAACGATGCCAAAGTGTGGTGGGTGCAGCGATGCACGCAGAGGCACTGGTGGAGGGTGGACGGAATGGATAGAGGTCGCCAGAGCTATTGCACCTAGCCATCACGTTCCTGGTGTGCAAATCCTTCACAGAAAGGCCAAATGGATCAAATTCAATGGAACAGTTATTATCGGTGGTAAAACGACGAATAGAAATCAGATTCTTAATAATGTTGGGAGACACCAAAACATCGTTAAGAACAAGATTGCGACCCGAGAAAGAAAAAGTGTGTGATCCAGTGGTAGTGACAGGAAGTAGTGCACCATTTCCCACAACGATAGATGCAGGAGTAGATGAAAAAGGTGGGGAAATGGTAGAGAGTTTACCAGCGTCCACGGTCATGTGGGAACCAGCCCCTGAATCGGCGTACCACTCGGGTGATGGAGCTGGCGGGTGGAGCGTCACGGTGTTGAAGGAGTGCGCCAGGGAGTCCTGATGCCATGAGCCCCTGTGGGTAGGATTCCAGGGCACCACTGGAGTGACCTAGTGGGCCGGTGAGGGTGCCTGGAAGGCCAGCAGTGCCGGTGGTGGAGGCATGGCTCCCCCATAGTATGAGCCAGTGCTCCCGAAGGACGGGCCGTACTGAGGAGGCGGAGGGCCGTAGGTACCACCACATGCGCCACCAAAACCGCCATACTGAGGAATGGCGGTAAACGCTGGAGGCACCGGTGGAGGGCGCCCAGACCGGTCGTAGGGCCACATCTGCACGGTGCCAGCCCATGGGTGCGTGAAGGATGGGTGCATGCCACCGTGCACGCCTGGGGGCGCACCACCAGGGGGCGCCGATGGGCCGCCGCGTCCACCGTGTCCGCGACGGCGGCCATTGCGCTGGCCACTAGTGGGTGCACCAGGAGGGCGCGCAGGGGGGAACGTCCCTGGGTGTGGAGGCGCTGGTGCCCCGGGCACCTTCGGGCGCGGAGTGGCAGCAACGAGAGCGGATGGCGGTGATGGTGGCCGGGCGTCGATCTCCATCTCCTCCAGCAAGAGGTGTGTCTAGGCCTCTGCAAATGTTGGGAATGGGCGATGCATCTTGAGGATGGACACCATATGGTGGAACTTGCCACTCAAGCCACGGAGGAGCGTGAGCACCAGCTGCCGGTCGCCGATGGGGTCGCCGAACTCGGCAAGAGAGGTGGCCATCGACTCGAGACGGCGATAGTAGTCGGTGATGCTCAGGGCGTCTTGGCGGAAGTTGCGGAACTGCGTTTCGAGGAGGAGCGCGCGGGACTCCCGCTGGCCGAGGAACTCATCCTTGAGGTAGCACCAGGCCCCGCGAGTGGGTCGCTGCCGCATCATCAGGGTCTGCTACAGATCGTTGGAGACAGTGTCATAGATCCACGTCAAGATGACGCAATCTTCCCGCACCCATGCCGGGCGCGAGGGGAAGGCCACGTCATCGAGAACGTGGCAAGTCAGGGCATATTTGCCAAGGACGGTGAGGAACATGTCGCGCCACTTGCTGTAGGTGTTCGTGGCATGATCAAGGACGACGGGGATGGGGGCCTTGACGTTGACGACGGCAGTGGCCTGTGCCCAAAGGGCCTCGTGGGCGCTCTCGTACGCGTCCAGCGCGGTGGCGCGGAGATGGGCCTCCTCGGCACGGCGTGCTTCTTCAGCGCGGGCTTCGTCCTTAGTCGCGAGGTGACGTTCTTCGGCGGCCGCGGCGAGACGGCGATCTTCGGCTTCCTTGGCGGCGGCCGCCGCAATAGCGTCGTCGTTATCCGCCATCGGGAAACCAGCGGGGCAGGCGAGCAGACCAGCGGCGGTACCCGGTGACGAGGTCAACGACGGGGGCCGGCGATCGGATCGGCGTTGCAGGTGGAGGCGCAGGCAATGGGACCGACGATGCGCCCAGCGACAGTGTCAGCGGCGGGGGCAGCGATCGGATCGGCGGCTGTCGAGGGTTGCGGAAGAGTAGCGGATCGTAATCGCAATTGATACCATGTAAACGTGATTAGAATTTAATTAATATGTGTCAGTACATATAGGGGCCGGCGTGGCTTATGAGCCAACCACGCAGGCGTGATACATGCCACAAATCAAGGGTTGCATACTATAATTACAATAGGCTAACAATTACCCCACCTTGTGCATCTTCTTCCTGAACCCGACAGGTAAGCAGGCCACTACTGAGTCCTTTTGTTTACCAAAAAAAGCATAAACCAGCTAACAATATCATGCGCACAGTTGCTCCACAACAGTAAATAAGATAGTTCCCCAAAAAAAAAACCTGGAAATAAGATCCCACACTAGTAAGATTATAGTACGGATCGATGTCGTACCTGTTCTACATAGAAATTATATATCAAAATAATTACTGTAACCTCTAGCATAAGTCAAGTGTTAATCATCATGAGTTAACATTGCTAAAAGCCGAATGAGAGCACCGAAACCGGAGTTACATGCAAGCAAGGATCGTGCTGCTTAAGAAGCTGGGGCTGGAGCAAGACGTAGCTTCTACCGACATAGCGTCCTCTGAAGAGTTTCGGCAAACCTTCAGGGAACCTCTTTCCCCGGCAGAACAACAGGCCTTGAACGAGCTGTTCAATGGGATATTGGCATAGTCAGGATGGCCTCAATGTCGCTGCTTCAGCTGCCGTATCCAGTGACCGGTTATTTGGCTCTTCGGCACTTTGGTCATTTCCTTTGTTGGGGCCTTGGGGGGCCTCAATGTCGCTCCTTCAGCTGCCGTACCCAACAACTGGTTATTTGGCTCTTTGGCTCTTCGGCACTTTGGTCATTTCCTTTGTTGTATAGTCTAGAGTTTTGCAGGATTTTTTTTTTAAGAAAATCTAATAAACATGCCTTTCAAAGTTGTCATGTGTCCATTTGGTCAGTGGTTTCTACTCTCTACTACATATTTTTTACGTTATTATTTGCATCCTTTTCGGCCCGCCGTTCTCCAGCGAAACCACATGGTGTCATAAATAAGATATTTTGATTTTTGATAAAAGCCAGAAGGTCACTCTTTACGGGTTGTCACAGATGGTATGTGCTTAGAGCGTATCCACAAGATTGATTACCCCTTTTCCTAAAACCAGTAATATAGGGGATTGAAGCAAAAGTAAACATACTCCAGCAGATCCCCTTTTCAATACGGTTTCTCTAAATTTCTTTTCAATCCCTCAAAATCTTGCCTCAATCCCTCAATTATAGGGGAGCAAACCACCGGTTAATCTCAATCTCCCCTTTCCTCTTCTTCCCATCACTGACATCCGGGCCGCCGTCTAGATCCGGGCGGGAGCGCGCCGCAGCTGAGGTGTTATGCCGGGATGGCGTCACCGTGCCGTCGCCGTGTAACGCACGAGCGGGCAACTGAAGGGTGAGTGTGGTTCTGCGTCACCGCCCTCATGCAAAAGTGGGCGTGCGGGCCAGCCGCAGGTCCGCTATGTCGAGAAGCCTCGAGAGAGACGTGGGAGGGAGAGGAAAGATAAGAGCATATGCAATGTATCTTGCCGAGTCCGGCAAAAGTATTGATCTATCAAACAAGCGTTTGCTATTGGACACTTTAAAGACAGGCTTGCTCGCCTAGCTCTGCTTTCCTCCTCTCCTAGCAAGCAAGGTGACACATCGCCACCGTCTCCACTGCACTGCACCAATAATTACTCACGTCTCTCTACTCTTCATCCCATAGCTTCAGCAAGTGCGGAATCTCCAACCTCACCAGTCTTCCATCCTGGCGTCGGCATGGATCTTGTGGCCGGGGCTGTGGGCAGCATCCTCACCAAGCTCGGCGAGCTCCTGCACGGGGAGTACAAGCTGCAGAAGGGCCTGCCGGAGCAAATCGAGTATCTGAAAAATGAGCTCGAGAGTGCGCACACGGCTCTCTGCAAGGTGGGCGAGACGCCGCCAGAGCATCTGGATCGACAGGTCCGGCTGTGGGCTGGCGATGTCAGAGAGGCGTCCTACGACATGGAGGACATCCTCGACACCTTCCTCCTCGATGTCGTGGAGGGGGCCGCCCCTGCTGAGACTAAAAGCAAGAAAGGCTTGCTTGAACGTCTCAAGAAGATGGCCAAGTTGTTGAAGGAGAGCAAGGCACGCCACAACATCGCCCGCGCGATCGAGGACATGAAGAAACGACTCCAGGAGGTGTGGGACCGCCGCGAGAGGTACTCCATACCCGTTGCAGTGCCTGCGCCGGCCACCAAACTGGATCCTCGCCTTGTGGACATGCACAAAGAGGCAGCACAGATTATCGGGATCGAGAGGACGAGGGCGGAGCTCATAGACATGCTTCAGTCATCGACCCACGGCCACGGAGATGCTGGTGCCTCCAGCAGCAGCAACCGGACCAAGATAGTTTCTGTGGTCGGAGCTGGTGGTTTGGGCAAGACCACTCTTGCCAAGGCGGTTTACGACGAGCTGAGTACGGGATATGATTGTCGAGCCTTTGTTTCGGTTGGCCGCAATCCTGACCTGGTGCAAGTCTTCACCAGCATCTTCTTCGGTCTTGACCAAAATAAGTACCAGGCCATTCGTGATATAAAGGACCTACAACTGCTCATTGTCGAACTCCGAAAATTCCTTGAAAACAAAAGGTATGGATTAATCAGTAGTCACCTAATCACCTATAGTTTCTATGTTTCATAATCTTATTATTATATATATGCTACGCTACTTGTACTGTGTGCATACTATTTGGGAGCATACATACGTTTACCATTTAATTTGAAGATGTTTCTTTTTGATTATGTATCAAAGATGTAGTAGTGGTACAATACTTCTTCTTGCTTGGGAATTTATATTTGATAATACAGATCTGAAGATGTTTGTTTGTTTTTCGTTATGAATCAAAGCTGCAGTCGTGGCACAATACTCCTTTTCTTGCTAGGGTTTAAATTTGATAATACAAATTTGAAGAAGTTTCAACGGGGACATTGTAAATCTTGGAAGTACAGAGTTCTTAAAACTTTGAACATCTATAAAGTTCCACTAGTATGTGAGTTTCAAAGACTAAATTAAAATTAGACTTCACGCATATTCAGTAGTAGTATACTACAGATGTAGTGCCGCTCTTCTTCTCCTTTATAGATGATAGATGCTCAAAGGTTTACTAACTCTGTCTATTAATTTGTACTGTCTTGTTGTTAGGTACTTCATCGTTATTGACGACATATGGGATTTGGAATCTTGGAAAGCAATAAGATCAGTTTTGGATAAGAAGAGTAGCGGAAGCAGAATAATCAAAACTACTCGTAATCGAGAAGTAGCCTGCAACAATGAAGTTTATTACAAACTTGATCCTCTTACAAATGATAACTCAAAGAAGCTATTTTATATGAGGCTATTTGGTGGTGAAGACAACTGTCCTGCTCATCATCCTGAAGAGGCATCTGAAAAGATTCTACACAAATGTGGTGGTGTGCCATTAGCTATCATCACAATGGCTAGCTTGTTGGTGGGCAAATCAAGAAACGATTGGTTTGAGGTGTGCAACTCTCCTGGTTTCTATGGTGGCAGAGACAACAGGCAGGTAGATGATACTGAGTGGATATTGTCCCATAGCTACTATGATCTGCCTTCTCATCTAAAGACCTGCTTATTGTACCTAAGTGTGTATCCCGAAGACTATGAGATTGAGAAAGATTCTTTGATATGGAAGTGGGTAGCTGAAGGTTTTATAGAGAAGAAAACAGGAACAAGCATGTTTCTGCGGGGAGAGGAATACTTCCATCAGCTCATAAACAGGAGCATGATCCAAGGGGTGGAGTCAGAAGTGGATGGCATCATACATCGCTGCCGTGTTCATGACATGGTCCTTGATCTTATTTGTGGTCTGGCACGCGAAGAAAGTTTTATCACTAACTCAAATGAGGATGGAGGAACATCATCGCGACACAAGGTGCGCCGGTTAGCTCACCAGAACAGGATACTACTGTTGGATCAATCTCATCCTGACAGTCATAGGGACACGACACAACTGAGGTCATTGGTTGCCCATGGGTGTGATATCTATGGTTGGGTCTTGTCTCCGAGCCTTAAACTCTTACGTGTGCTAGCTTTAGAGAGGTGCAAATCATCTGATATTCAGGAGTATGGCAAGCGCTGGCTTGAGCATCTTGGAGAACTAGTTCATTTGAGGTACCTAGGGCTACGAGGTACAATGGTCCGAGAGCTCCCGGAGGCGATAGGGGCTCTAAAGCTTCTACAGACACTTGACATGCAGGACACCGGACTAGATCAGCTGCCATGGAGCGTTAGCCTGCTGACGGGGTTGGTTTGCCTACGATGTGACAGCAGATGGACGACGGTGCCGGATGGGTTCCTCCAGAAGGTGAAGTCACTGGAGGAGCTAGAGATAGGTGTTCGCATGCTGTCTTTTGAGTCCCAGAGGCAATTTTTGAAGGAGCTGGGCAATCGGAGCCTACTGAGGGTGCTCCGTGTGATTGGCATGGGCAGGCTAGATGAGAGCATGCAGGCAGAACTTTTGAAGTCACTAGGCAATCTGCAGGAGCTCCAGCATCTGCATCTGGATCTGCATTTTTGTTCGTTCAATGAACGTAGCGCTGCCCCAACGGAGTGGGACAAAGCCATTCTTTCGGAACATCTCAGGCATCTACGTATACAAATCATCCGGTTCTCTTGTGTGCCATCATTCATAAATCCCACGCTTCTCCCCAACCTTCGCTACTTGTGGTTGTGTGTGGATCATATGGACGAGGCAGGTCTGAGAGCCTTGGGTGGGCTGCCAGATCTCCGTTACCTCTCCATTTTACCGCCTGATGGGATGGCTTCTCATGAGCAGGCTACGGTAGTTAATATTGCTGCCCATGATGTCTTCTTCCACAAGTTGAGAATCCTCGTATTGTTTGGATGGATGGTCCAGTTGGCGACCAACGGTGACTCGACTAGTGCTTCGTTGAGCATTTGGAGGGGAGGACAGGATGCTGCTATGGTATTTGATTCCAATTCTAAAGCAAAGGACGGGGGCTGCAGCAGCAGAGTAGCACCAACCCCTGTTGCTGTGATGCCAAACCTCCACGCCCTTTGGTTCACTGTCCCAGTCAGGGTTTTGTACGAGTTCACCTGTGACAATAATCTCGGCTTGGACTTGGAGTGCCTCCCTTCGCTACGCAATGTCCTGGCATATCTGGACTGTAAGGGTGCCTTCCCTGATGACGTGAACAAGGCAGACGCTGAGCTCAGGCGCCTAGCACAACTCCATCCCAATAGTTCCGCACTCATATTCGACGTATTTAAGGTTAATGATGAAGATATGATGGCACGACCAATACATAGCGACGGTGAAGAGGTAAGTACCAGCTGCCCAACTTGTTTTAATAACCACATTCCATTCCCAATTCCACTAACACGTACTTCTCCATTACTATATTATTATTATATATAGTAACAATATGTGTAGAAAATCAAGGGCTGCGGTGCTCAAAAACCACCTAGGACGTAGCAAGATCCCAAAGAAATAATAGCCCTTGATTTATCACTTGTGCATATGAAGTAATTATCACTTTTCTAAGAAAAATAGATACAGTTAAGTATATACTTGTTACTATTGTCACGTACGGACTATGTTTGAGTACGCAAGAACATTAACTTTTAACATGATGTTGGTTGTAAAAGTGACTGACGCCCTTTCTTTTCGAGGACAAGGATGAGGTGACTGACGAGGATGTCTCAGAAGCCTCATTGTACCATACAGCAGAGGAGGATGAGATGACAGAGGAGGAGGTCTCAGCAGCTTCACTATCTGGCAGAGAAGAGGAGAAGAAGAGGAGGAGGCCTTGGCAATCTCCCTGTCCGACAGAAAAGAGGAGGATGAGGTAACCGAGGAGGTGGTCCCTGCAGTCTCGGTGTCTGAAACAAATGGGGAGGCAACGCCTCCAAGGATGGTTGCGACGCAGGGAGCGCCTCCGCTGTCTGTGTAGCAGGGACCAGATTTTCACCCCGAAGATCGGCACCAGCGGTGGGGTATGGTTTCGGTCGCCCCGAGTCGCCTCACGGAGGAGGCGACGTGGGGGTGGGGTGACTTTCGGTTTTGTTCTCGTCTTCGGCCCTGTAACTGCAGTCGGTGGCGGGATGGCACGGTGTTATTGGTTAATTGTAGAGCTTTTGTTTTGATGGATCGGTCCGGAATCATCAGATGCTCACATGGAACCTCATGAATGGCGTTTGGTTTGAAATCATAAGCCAGTGCCGTCCGTCCGTCACCAAGTCGATCTGTTTCATAACTCCTCCAAGCCAATTTCCGAGATGGACTCATCCCTCAGAATAGTAAGGGCGACCGATGCTGCATGCAAGCTGAGCGAGTCCATACCCGATGAAGTTAATCATCGAACCAAGCACACTGTGACGGGGCCACATGGGCTGTTGTTGCGTGGTGTCTCTAGCTTGATCTATTATTCTAGGTGAACTCTGTTTCTGTGTAGCCTGTTTCAGTCTTTCTCTTCTCCTTATATCTTGAAGTGGTTACTTACATCTTACATTCGATTCATACACACCATCGTTTCCTATAATCTGCCACCGATGTATATATGCGAGATGGGGACACAGAAGAATTCGTTTCAGTTTCATCTGTTTCTAGCGAGAAAACTGTTTTGACGCCTCGGTTAGCTTGAGCAACGGTCCAGCTAATTTCAGACACTGAAAGGCTAAGATCAGAAAGGTGCATGACTCTAGGCTCTTTTCCCGTTAATGCTATATATAAATACAAAAAAAAAATGGCTGGCAGAAGTAACACGAGGCCTCTCTGGCTTATATACGCAGGAGCTGCAGTAGGCAGCACATCGTGGAGTTCCATAGCGTTGCAACATGCTAGTAATAAGTGGTAACTAGCAGGATGGACTCCGCATCCAGGCATCCTCCATCTATCTTCTCTTTAACATTTGCCTCAGTATTCTTCTCGATCGTGTGATTGGGCCCTAAGGAAAGCCCAGCAGAGGCCTACAGGCATTGTTGGTCCGAAGAAAAAACACAACTAAACATTGTCCCAAGATCTAACAGGAAAATCTTATGCGCGTGCGTCCCTACGAGTTGCTGCTTGTGACCAGCCTAATTGGGCTCGGTGATGGCTCGGGCCAAACCAACCTGTCAGATACCGTAAAAAGGGGTACCCTAAGCAAGAACCGAAAAATTGCTTAGACCTAAATATCGAAGCCAAGAGACAACGACGAGGCCTCGGCCGATTCTCCGATTCGCCTGAGCCCGCGCCGCAAGGCCTCGGACGAGGTACCAACTCTCCGCCTCGCTCAAGGCCCCCTCGCCCAAGGCCCCACCCCGCAAGACCTCGGACGAGGTAAATATTCTCCGCCTCGCCCGAGGCCCCGCCCCGCAAGGCCTCGGACGAGGTACCGATTCTCCGCCTCCCTCAAGGCCGGCTCGGCAGCTACCCCGTCACCGCCGCCTCGACCGGGACGTCACGTCCAACTAACGCAACCAACCACTCCCGCGACGTCAGCCGAACGACGGCTCGACACGGCGGAGTGACTGACGAGATGGGAGTCGCATCAATGCCTTGCCGTCCGGGACAAGACGGGGCAGGGGTTACCGGCCGCTGTGCTCGGCACTGTGCCCATGACTGACACCCATGCGGCACTGTGCTACCTAACCCCACCTGCTCCGAGGACAGTGCGGCGTGGAGAGTCATGTCCGGGTCCCTGTAGCCTCGGAATCAGCATAAAAGACCAACTGCTCCCTCCGAGCCTCGGCTACCCGCCTCCGCACCCCTGTAGCCTCGGGACTCACGCCCGCCGAGCCCCCCACAATGGTTCAGCCTCTGCACCGACGGGGCCTCGGCTCTCTACGCTGTCGACATACAGCGACCGGCACGTCGTGCACAGTCTACACCATGCCCTGCGTTAGGCCATCATAGGAGCTCCCACGTCACCCAGGATCGGGCGTGACCGGCGCTTCGCTCCAGTGCACCGAGGACAAGACCGCTCCGCCGACCATGCCGCCATAGTGACAAGCACAAGGCTCGGACATACCGCCTTCGCCCACAAAACGCCACGTAGCGAACACATGTATCGCCCCTGTCCCCCCTTCAACTATAAAAGGGAGTGACCGGGGCCGTTTCTAAGCACGCGCGAACGCACAGACGGACGGAGACTCACCCACTCACACACACACGCGCAAGCAACGCTCTGTAACACACACTCTTCTTCACTGCGAGAGATCAACATCTCAAGCAACTCACGCCACCCCGCGCAGAGACCTGGGGCTAGCTCCCTCTCTCGTCCAGCTTGTAAGGCCCTACTACAAGCACCTCAGTGCAAGGAATACAAGATCGCTCCCTCAGACTGGACGTAGGGCACCTATTGCCTAAACCAGTATAAACCTTGTGTCTCTTTGCATCACCATCCGGGATTAGGGACGCGCAGTACATTTTCATCCCAACAAGTTCTAGATGGCAGACCCCGTGCGACCACTATGTCTTGGCACAGTGATCTGGTTCGGGAGCCTAGAGTTCATGTATCTAGGATGCGAGTACGATATGGTACTCCTCACACCCAGAGCCCCACCGACCGACGACGACACCACACACCAGCAGCCCAGGCGCAGGCGGCGCCTGGGCCACCGCTCTCGTCGCGCTCGCCAGGCACGACGCGAGCGGGACCACCCCGACACCGCGCGAGCTCAGGGCGACGCACCGCGCTCTACCGGTATCCCATGCCCGGCTGTTGGTATAGAGTCCCTGGCTGGGGACCTGTCTAGCTTAAGCCTGGGCAAGGGAAAGATGCCGGTGGCACGCAGCAACGCCCCGTCATCAAGCTCTACCCTGCCACCTCCTGAGGAGTCAACTCCGACGGAGCGGAGCCCGACGATGGCACCATCCCCATACCCCTTCGGGTTGAGCAATGCCGCCGCCGCCTTCGCTTCCGCCTACGCTTCCGCTCACGCGAAGCCCTCAGGACGCCACCAATGTTTTGCCCTCGACCTCTTCGCCACAACCTCGACCCACACCCACGCTGACTCCTCAAAGGAGGAAGAGGCATGGGCCGGAGCAGACCTCTCCGGGCTTTGCGACCCTGAAGCTATGCACCGCTTCATGGCCGCGAGCGACTACTGCTTCGGCTACTCCGACTCCGATAACGAAGGCACTTACGATCCCACTCGTGAGTGCTTCTACGTTGAGCTTGGGATGCCGAGAGCGGGCGATGAGGATGAAGGGGCAGGCAATCGCTCCCCGCCCCGCGAGGGGGCAGGCGACGCCACACCTCCACATCTCGAACCCTCGGCAGCGCGGAATGAGAACCCCGCCCACGAGGAACTTCGACGCCTTGACTTGGAGTAGCTCCGTGAGCTCCAGGCCAAGGTCGAACAAGACCGACTCCTTCTGCAGCAGCTCTGAGACACTCTCGAGAGAGAGCAGCGGGGTCGCGGTGATGGCAGTGCAGCCCGGCAAAGGGCTCGCGACGTCAACCACCGCATCAACAACGACGAATGGGGCGGGCAACCCCCTATCTTCAATCGCGCTAGCCAGAACGTCGCGGCAGCAGTGATGCTACTCTGGACAATGCCTGAGCCCTCTACCACGGAGGGGCGAAAGTGCTCCGAGACCTCCTCGAGACCGCCGCGGTACAGCAGGCCAAAAGTTCCGCCTCTCGACTACGCGGGGGCGCCTCAGAACTACCCGCGGCATCGCCTCGGCAGGATAGAGAGGCCTCGGTTCGTCCCGAACTTGCTCGGGCGCCGACAGTCAACAAGGCCCCCTCAGGGCACGACCGACTTGGCGACCGACGCGAGGTGCAAGGCGACCACGATGTGGTCAGTAGGCGACGGCGACACGACAACGATGGGTCCGCCCAAGGCTACCACCCGCACCGAGGCGGTCGCTACGACAGTGGGGAGGACCGCAGTCCTTCTCCTGGGCCACCTGGCCCTCGAGTCTTCAGCAAGGCCATCCGCGGCGCTCACTTCCTGGCCCAGTTTCGGCAACCGGCCAACCTCGCAAAGTACAGCGGCGAGACCAACCCCGAGCTATTGATGGATGATTACCGTCTGGCTTATTAGCTTGGTGGCGCGGACGATGACCTGCTCATCATCCGCAACCTCCCCTTGTTCCTGTCAGACTCAGCGCGAGCCTGGCTCGAACACCTCCCTCCCTTGCAGATCCACAACTAGCGTGACTTGGTAAAGGTCTTCGTCGGGAATTTCCAGGGCACATACGTGCACCCCGGGAACTCCTAGGACCTCAAGAGTTGTCGCCAGAAGCCGAACGAGTCTCTCTGAGACTTCATCCGACGCTTTTCCAAGCAATGCACCGAGTTGCCCCGTGTCAGCGACTCGGAAATTTTCCAGGCATTCCTCTCTGGCACCTCCTGTCGAGACCTGGTCCGAGAGTTAGGCCAAAACGTACCGACCACAGCGGCCGCACTCCTCGACATCGCCACCAACTTCGCCTCGGGCGAAGAGGCTGTCGGGGCCATCTTCCCTAACAATGACGCCAAGGGGAAGCGGGGGGACGAGTCCCTCGGGGCCTCGGCCCCCCACCCCCACAAGAAAAAGAAAAAGGGTCATTAGGGGAAGCAAGAGGTCCTCGAGGCCGGTCTAGTCGCAGCCGCAGATCGCAAGAATCCTCGAGGCCCCACCAAAGGCCCCGGGCTCTTTGACGACATGCTTAAAAAGCCCTGCCCTTACCACCAGGGCCCGGTGAAGCACACCCTCGAAGAGTGCACCATGCTCCGGCGTTACTACGCCAAGCTCGGGCTCCCCAACGATGAGGCCAAGAAGAGGGATGCCGGCGATAGGGACAACGACAAGGACAACGGGTTCCTCGAGGTGTACAACGCCTTCATGATCTTTGGCGGGCCTTCAGCGTGCCTCAT